TCATGCCGTTCACCCATCACCATAGGTCGTCACCTCGAGTTATCGTCGTCACTCTTCATTCCTCCAAGCTAGGTATCTTTCTTAAAACTTATTTTTGTAGGTTTAGACAATATTTTAAGCATTAGTTTCTTGATTTAAGTATTAGGTTTTAGTTTTACTTTGTAAAATTATGAAAGGCTTGTTCATTTACATTTTTTGAGTTAGGGTGACTTGAATTAGATCTTGATTTGAATTAAGGTGTATTTGATTATGGTTTGAGTTAAGACTCTAATTTAAATTTGTATTTGGATGTGCACATTTTTAGTTATTGTTTGAATTAACTACAACAGAGTAATCTTTTCATAACTGTTAGTTATAACGTTTCTAGAAAAAACATCATGTGTAGAAACATGTATAAAATGCATGTAGAAGGTTTTCATCCAAACTGCTTCTAGGTTCACATTTCAATTAATCACCTCTTTTTTTAATAATCTAATCTAATCTAATCTAATCTAACATATATAAAAAAAAGATAAAGTCTCATTATTGTTCACTTCATGGGGACTGCCACTTGACAACTTTTCTTCTTTATTCTTTTTCCCCTTTTCAGCTTTTTTTTTTGACTTTTTGCTTTTCCTACTTTTTTATTTTTTTTATATTTTTAATGTTTGTTTTTTTATTTTATTTTATCTTTACATCCTAATTTTTTACTGTGTGCTTTTTAAAAACATTTTCTTTTCAAGCTTTACTCTTATAAAAATAATTCCTTTCATATTTGTTCCTACATAAATTTTTGTTCCTTTTTTATTTTTGTCAATGGCTAAGATAATTTTTTTTTCAAATATGTCCTTACTTAATTATTTTTTTGTATAATTCATTTTATATCAATAGTTATCTTTATGCATATTTTTTTATCACTAGCCTAATAAAACCTTTTTTATTCAAATATTTCCCTTTTGGTCATTTTTTCGTGCAATTTTTTGAACTATTATTACTCATCTTATTTTATCTTAACATATGTAAAAGCTGTATAGACCTTTTTCGTTCATGTTGCATCTACGGCCACGTCTCAATTTCATCTCTTCGTTTTTGTTTTTGTTACTTTTAGTATTATGATTTTTAATTTGTTTCTCAATGTCTTTTTTAATGTTAATGTTCCACCATTATTTATATAATCTTAATCTCAGCATCTTACCTTAATCTTAATTGTAATTTTATTTTAACACCTTAATCTTAGTCTAATATAATCTAGCAATGCATAAATAGCCAAAAACTCTGTAATAGTACTCTTTCCTTAAACGACCACATGGTGGCTTCTCATCTTCCCTTTTTTTCTTTCTTTCTTTTTTATTTTTTTTTACTACTTTACCTTTTATTTTTATTTATCTAATCTAATATAGTCTAACATCTAATTTAATCTAATCTAACAAATACAAAAGAGCCAAAGCTTTTTTCTATTAGACTGTCACATGGCAGCCCCTCCACTTACTTTCTTTTTTTTTCTTTTTTTTTTTTACTTTTTTATCTTTATTTTTTATTTTTTGTGAATGTTTTAATACATTTTAATTTTTTGTGCATTTTTTAAAAATACATTTTTTTCACTTTACTTCTATAAAAGTAATATTTTTTCGCATGTGTTTTTATTTGATATTTGTCAATTATTAAAATAATTTCTTCAAATGCGTCCCAACTTAATTGTTTTGTCGGTTGTTCTCTTACACATATTTCTTTCTAAAATAAATTGAAAAATTCTTAAATGGTTGTATAAATGAATTTCTCATCATTCGGTGTATAATAAACTCTTCAGGTGTCTCTAATACAACACAGAGCACATTACAAAACTAGTATTCTATAAAATGAGCTGTCTCTTTTTAGACTTGGCTCGTAAGGAGGTCACGTGTTAACCTCCTCCTCCTCTTTCTTCATCTTTTTCTTCTTGTTATTTTTCCTCTTTTTCTCTTTTTCTTTTTGTAACTTTTTATTTTTATTTTTCTTCTTTTATTTTGTCAGTTGTTTTTTTATTTCTCGTTTAATTTTCCCTAATATTTTTTAACGCTTGTTTAATGAGAAATACTAGCGTCACTATTTCTATTACTCTTTGTCACTTTCTGCATTCACTATTTGACGCGTAAATTTCACTATTTTATTTTTATTTAAATAATAATATCTTATATTAATAAAGTTCACATATTAAATAGTAAATGTAGAGAGCGACAAAATGAGAAGTGTTACTATTTGGCTCTCCACATTAGGGGTGTAATTCGGCTGGGTAGGCTCGGGTTGGGCCAAGCCGCACTGTGCGGGTTGGAAAAATTTTAGGCCGCAACACCCTCATAAGCCCACAAACCCGTAACATGTTGGGTGACCTCGGGTAGGCTCAGGTTACTCGGGTTACTCCAAAGCAAGAAAACCCAATAGCAGCCCATTTATGCCATCAGCCTTATTGTGAAAAATTGGGCCATTTATACCATGCCCAATAGCCCATTTACTCGGGTTACACACACAGTTATCACTAATACAGAGGAAAATAGAAGTCTTTTTGTGAACTTTTCAAAAATCTTCGTCCCTTCATCAATCAAGGCACGCTTGACTCCAGGCTCCAAAAGATCCCTCCAACTCGCCCCTTTAGCCACCTCCTCAGCCGCTTTGATCACCGTTGGTTCCAATCCCGCCCCATCTTCCTCCTCAATCACAAAAGACGCCTTGGAACCAATAACAAATTTAAGAAAACTCTCAGCATAATCACTGAAAATAGAAAACAAAATTCAGATTCTTAAACTCCCGATCAATTTCTAAACATTAAAACCAAGTCTATTTATATATAATTTTGCTAACACTCTCTCTAACGGTAAGTAATTCAAGAAATTAAAAACCCAAGTAAACTTGGAATACAAATTTACACAAGAAACCTTGAAGTTAAGAAAATTATACTTAAAACTACAACAAAAATTAGAAAGAGAACTCACTTTTGAGTTCAAATCAAAAAATCACAACATGCTTTTCATAGAGTTAGAATTCCATGAGATTTAGAATAACAAGATTGAAAGAAAATACAAAAGGTTGCAGATCAAAGATTGTACCTCGGACTCGATCTTTTAGGTTAAATATAAACAAAATCATCAAGTTTTCCTCATTCTCATAAGAATTCTAGTGGAAAATTTGTCTATAGATGAGCTTCTTTAAGTCCAAGGGTTTGTTTCCTCCTCTGAAACTTCTAAGAAAGTGGTTCCAACTCTCATTGCAGAATAGTGAGAAAAATAGGAAATGAATGAGAAGAAGAAGAAGGAGAACGGAAATAAGGGGATGACTACTAATGTCAAAACCCTAGGGTAATAAACATTCAGCCGACTCGGCTTCCTCGGGTTCAACTGAATCCGACCCGGAACCCAACCCGCACTGTGCGGGTTTAGGGGTAATGTATCCGAAAAAATTAAAAAAAAAAAATTTCACTATATTCGGGTAGGATAGAGTCGGCTTGGGCGGATTCATTCAGTTCGGACTCATTTCTTATACCCCTACTCCACATGACGTAGCAAGTACACGTTTCTAATCTCAAAAGTAATGCAGAAATGGAACCCACACCTGTCATCTCTTTTTTTTTTCCTTCTCATTTTGCCTTCTGTATCATTTTATCAATTTTTTTTCTTTTAAATTCAAAACTCACTCCACCGCCGCAAATGCCTCTGGTCCTCTTCATTTTCTCTTTCCCTCCACAAATCCACCATAACCACTTCTTCTTTGCGCTCCATCTCTTGCTTTTCTTCTTCTCTCTTGCTCTGTCCTTAACGCTAGCATTTCTCTTATGTGTTTTACAATATTCATGTTTGAATTATTTTTTTCCAGTTTTTTTAATTAAAATAATTTCTTTCAAATTCGTTCCTACTTAAATTTTCTTTTGGTCAAAAACTCGTATAAAACTTTTAGTTATTTTTTTCTAACTTTTTTTCTTTTCCTCTTTTTCTATTTTTTATCTCTTTTTAACCTTTTTTTTTTGTTTTTTTGTTTTTTTTTATTTTGCCTATCTTTTTTGTTTTTTTCCCCAATACTCTTTCGTAGTTCATTTTTTTAAAATACCTTTTTAATACTTTTTTCTCACTTTTTTTGAATTAAAATAATTCTTTTAAAATATATCCATATTCAATTTTTTTTTTCGCAAATACTATTATATAATTTTAATTTTTTTCGATGCAATTTTTGAAAATAGATTTTTTTACTTGCTTTAATTAATAGACTTAACTTCTAAAGAGACCACGTGTTTTAAAGCGTGATTTAACTTGCAAAATTATTCTCCACGTTGTGGTATCTATGGACGTGGCTTACTTAATTTAACAATGCATAAAAGAGCCAAAAGCTCTTATAATTGTACTTTTACCTTCAGCCTCTCTTCTTCCTTTTTTTCACTTCTTTACTTTTTTTTATCTTTATTCTTTTTATCTTTTAAATGTTTTTCTTCTTTATTTTTTTATTTTGTGGATTCTTTTATAGTTCAATTTTTTACGTGAAATTTGTAAAAATAATATTTGCACACATTACTTTTATAAAAATAATTTCTTTTGCATATGTTTCTATTTAATTTTATTTTTATCAATAGTTAAAATAATTTTCTTCAAATCTATCACTACTTAATTATTTTTCATATAATATCTGTTATATCAAGAGTTATATTTACACATATTTTTTTAAAGTATCTCTCACAAAGTACTTTTCAAACTCTTATGTTGTAGCA